AGCTTTATTTTATGGGGATTTGCACAGATGCAACCAAGATGAGGAAGGTACACAGATACAGATAAACAACTTTTACCCACCACAATGTTTTTAACCACTGATGTGTAAGTTGGCCCACTGCAGTTCTTTGAAACAATGTAACATATTCTAAGCCACACAATTATCGCTAAGATACTGACTTTTATCAGTTTAGCACTAAATGAACTACTTAAGGGACAATATAAATCAACAAACACTGCTCACTTGCCCCCATTACCAAAAATTAATCAGTATTAGAACACCAGTATCCAATCAGTTGTGCATTATTCCATGAATGCCAGTCAGAAAACTCGCCCCATTTGAGCCAGTTTCCAAATTTCAGAACACATTTAGAGAAACGAATAAAAATTTTAAACCTTATTTCAACTCGAGTCGATCCATTGGAAACAATAATACACACATTCATATACATAAGATTGAAAATACACCAGCAATGAAACTAACGATACCAACGATTAGAAGCATGTGGAATCGTATATAATCTAGCTATTCCAGATCTCAACAACTGTTTCTTCTCCCAAACAACCAAGATAAGTATTCCAGTGCTCAATCGTAGGCAATCAACAAATCAAGTAGGCCATACACCTTAGACATCTACATTCCCAAATTTCGAAACGAAGGGGAAAAACAGCAAATACTCTGAAGACCAACTACAAAGAAAACCAAGATAATCCATGGAAAATCAAAATCCCAGGATAACAACCACTAGTTGAGGCATGCTCAACCAAATGCCCCATTCTCCCATAAGGATCATTCCTGCATCATACCTTAATGTTAAGGAACAACGGAGCTAAAACCATGGTATTTGGTCTGAATCCCAGATTTTAACCTTAGAAAGAAATGGAAAACATTCAACCACAAGCAGATTTAACTCAGCGGTTAATGAGTCAAGACCAAAATAACTCAGCTGACAAGAAATAAAGATAATTAAAAAAAGGAACATGTAAAGAGTGTAAATAGTACGCAACCAAGAGTATATATAGGTTTTTCTTTTTTTATAATTAAAGCTGTCACACTGCATGGCCTGATAAAACTGTGAGTCACACAAAGATACTAATCGGAAATGTTAACCATATGTAATACGGTCAGCCAAGAAGACCATGAGAGAGACTCTCTCCACATAGGCATCTAGAGATATGAAATATCTCTTGGAGGAATAGCAGTGACACATTGTGACTAGTGTGTCAATTCCCATGGTATATATAGGTTGTAAGAAATGTAAACAAGGGAAAAAAAAAAAAGGTAACACATCATGAACATTAAGGGCAGCTTATCCAATAGATTCTCAATGCCTCGAATAAAGGTTTTTTTTGGGTACAAATATAGAGAGATCAGCAAACAGTGCCAGTTCACCAATTCAATGCCAGTATTAATCCATAAATGGCCAAGTGGAGTTGCACATCAAAGATGCTTAAAGGACTTGACCGGTGGGAAAGTGCCACCTGGGCATCCCACTTCCAGGCGCTTCAAGGGATCCACATTCAAAAGTTCAAAGTTCAAATAGAAAGCAAGGACTTAGCGATACATTGCCAACTATGCACGTTGCGACATCAGCTGCTTATAGTTTTATACATGCAAATCCACTAGTAAATTCTTAAGTCAAAAGGCACAGTCTACACACTGCACAATGTTTCTCTAACCAAGAGAATAACCCAGACATACTCCAAGTAAAGCACAGAAAGCATAGAAATGTCATGTACATTTTGATGGAGTTCTACCCAGAAAGGATAGTAATATAGATGGCGGAGGTCAGATATAATGCCATGTACATTATATGGCTCAAAAAGAAAAAAAAGATACCATTGAACTAATACCACTATTAGAACCATCAGAAAAAAATGAATAGTTGTTGCACCCTACCTGAGCAATTATTTGAGTAAATAGAGAAACATGCATATTCACATCATTCTAACGAAACTTACATAGGGGTACAGAAAGCCACATAATGAAATAGCCCTAAACCTCCACAAAACTAGCAGAAATCCTAATCTGGGTAATAGTTTCCACAGAGCGATGCTCCTCACAAAGCCAGTTGACGAGGCTCAAGCAAACAAAAAGGCCAGAAATACAAATCTATCAAACCACCACACAAAGACCACCACAATTACAAGGATGAAGCAAACATGGGTATCAGGTAGAAGAATCATGTACACAAGACATGAACCTGAGCAAATAACATTGATTTCAGTAACCACAAGGTACAAAGGATGTGAACATCACGCCCACATCATGTATACTAAAAATATGTGAGAAGTATCTGGAAACCGAGATTACTAAGTTAAAAAAAAAAAAAACAAAGCAACAACGTTCAGGCCTTTTATGCCACTAAAAAAAAAGCATACAAAAATCCATATGTCTCCTCAATCCATAAGATGAAAATCGCCATAACCCTTTTAAGGGATATGTTATAGGCACATGACTTATCATTAAATCACTAACAGAACCCAAACTTCCACGAAGTCAAAGAACATTGCACAACCAGTGACGACTTGTCCAAGCCTCTTAACGTAGGAATAGGAGAACACGCTTCTTGGTGGGGGCTTACCACTTAGACGTTACGATGATTTCTCTGAAAACCACACCACCCATCTGGAATACTGTCACAAGCTAAGTAATGTCCCAAACCAATACGAAGAGTTCAGCCATTGAAATAAACAAGTCCAGGATCCCCAGGCACTAGTTCCATTAGTGTTATAGCTGATCTATAATACGGTGGCCATAGGTTTGAACCTCAAAAAATGAAGTATGTCGCACAAATTTAAAAGCTAAACTACCAAAAATCCAAAACAATAATAATAATAATAATGAAGATGGTGATAGCAGTAGCAGTAGCAGCAGCAGCCGCCACTAGTAGTAGGAACAACAACAACAACCTGGCCCAGGGAATGGGGTTGGGGCATCAGTGGTTCGGCGGCTTATGTCTCAACATAACGTCCCACCCCTCCATTCCCACCTTTAATATGATGAAGAAAAAAACAAGACAACTTGGCCAAAAAACCAAAAGTAAAGGCAACTGACTCAGACCAATCCAATTCAGCTAAACAAATTACTACGGTCCAAATCTATTTGCCTCGATTAATGGCCAATTATAAACTAAAATCTCACAAAACAATATATTTTTATTAATTTAAATATCATCCCAAAACTTTAGTCAGAATAACGGCGACTCAATTAAAAAAATTGCTGAAACAAATAACACTAATCAATTGCATCCTGAGACTTAGGGCACACTATATTGATATGGGACCGAAGAGATCCCACAAAACTAGAGCTAAGTTTAGGGAAACAGGAATCATGGGGACTGGGGACTAGGGGTAGGGGTAGGGTTAGGTTATGCGAGTAAGGGGTGGATTGAAAGGGTAAACTATGGGTACTATGGAGGAAAGCAAATCACTTGTCGAATGGAATACGGCACAAATGGTAATGGATGGCTAAGGTTTGTTTAATGAGAAGGATCATGCTAATTTGGGTGGAAGGATGATGTCATAGATGGGGGGGTGGCTGATTCCGAAGACGAGGGTTTGTGGAGGGTGGCACAAAGTTCACAGAGACATGGAATGATGGCTATTGCATGGGGACATGGTGTCTTTTTTTTTTTTGGGGGGGGGGGGATGTGGGATTGGGAGGGAAGGAGGGAGAGCGGACGATTGACACTTGCAAGAGAGAGAAAGATAAAGGATGATTTATAGGAAGTGCGAAGAAAAGGTATGCAGGGAAAGAGGGGCATGAATGTAAATAAAAAAAGAAAGGGCGTAATTTTGTATGGAATTATGGCCAAACAAAGTTAGGTCCAGAAAGGGGAGAAAAAGGACCTAGTTTACTATGGAACTAGCACCATGCAATAGCTACAGTTTCACAAAATCCGCACAAGGGGCTGTGGAATTGATGCCATTAAAGCTCAATAAAAATCAAATTCTACTCGAAGATATGAATGGACATTGTCTCCTTACAGAATTTACAATACATCAAGATCTATTCCAACCTTAGCCCGTATAACAATTTACAAGAAACCCTAACTTGACCAAGACTCCAATACCAAAAGAGGGAAACTCAAACAAGTAGATAACCGAGTCTCCAGTTACAAAAAAAGGAGACCTAGACAACCAGGACCAAAAACAAGAAAACAAAAAACAAAAAAAATGGAATAAGAACCGCTAGATAAACTTAGGCCAATTAAACCTAAACTTCATCACTAAATTCACCATTAGGCTTTCAACCACAATTTGAAACATGTAGGCCCTGAAGACATTCAAAATGAGATTTGAAATTTGGACTGCAGAAATGGGCATCTGGGTTAAAAATTGTGCCCTCTGAAAACTGTATTCACTATATACTACAAAACAAGCACATAACACATACAAAGTATTAAACTTGCTTGAATGACACCCCAAATGCTGTATGATTCATGTGTAGAACTTTTATAAGGTAAGAAAACATATCCTACCACCATGGATCTATTGCTTCAGCACCATGAATGTAAAGGAAAATTCCCAAGTCCACAAATCCATTCATTACCTTAAACCTCCAATCAATGTTTTAAAACCGGCAAACCAGCTCGGAACTGCCCAAGCCAGCTCAAAACCGATGATGACCGGTCCGAGTACAACCAGTTTTTCTTTTCTTTCTTTTTTCCTTTTTTATTTTTTTTTGTGGTTTCCATAGAAATTTACTCCAGAGAACAGACAGGTTCCAATACCATTCAACCTATCCTGAATGGTTCATTCAATGACCGGTTTGGCAGGTAGGTCCGTGTTTCAAAACACTACCTCCAACATTAACCATTGTGACAGCAATTTCAAACAGATTAAATTACAAATGGCATATCAAACAGCTACTTACAACTGGAAATGCAAATCAGCTCAAACCCCTCAGACCATTGACAAGAAAAATCCAATACTGAATCACCTAATTAAATGAGGACTTCAACATCATACTAAAATGGATATAGGAACTTATTTTACCTTTAAGTTTGGTGTCCATTTCTTTGTTACCCATACCCTCTATTCTACCGTCCTTTCTCCTTCCATAATTGGTATTATGAATTATAACAATTGGGGGCCAGATGATATGGTCCTCCTTATTTGCAGTTGCTTCATCAGTAGAGAAAGTCTGGTACGCCTTTGAATTCTCTGGTACTTTGGCGTAGTTCCAACCCATAAGAACACACAAGGCCTTGTGAAAGGCAAGGTGATCCGTCCGAACATCCACGTTCTGCATATGGTAGGCATGCATGATAAGGCTATGTACATCGGAAAATTCTTTTGAATTCCTGCAATTTGGAGAGCAAAAAAAAACACAAGGTTCAGAACATCGTTCTACTCAATCATCAACACAAGAAGAAGCAAGAGTATCTGTATCACTAATGAAGGAAAAATATATGCTAAGGAAATATACAAACTACAATTTCAAGCTATTCTAACGAGCAATAATAAATTAACAAACCTCGCAATCCATAAGAGAAAACTATCAGGTTATCAGGAAACTCTCAGATTCAGCACTCAAAATAAATAAAAAATACTCAAGGATTAAATAGGAATTACTAATTCATCCACAGAAAGCAACCAAAACAAATAATAAATATGTCCAGCATTTTATCCTCGGAGCTAATTTTAGAATTGCTATGGCTTTAATATAAGTAAGACAGAAACAAAAGCTTAAATATAGAACATGGTGAAATAAGGAAAAATGTATTCAGCTAAAGCTACTGAAAAAACATTGACGTGATAGAAGCTAGAAGAAACCATTACAAATGAAAAGGTCAGAGGGACTTGAAATGAGCAACAGATATCCAAAAGTAATTCTTTCAAATTGCCTATAAAAAATCACGATACGAAAATGCACCACCATCACCATTAAATTGGACATGAGAAACAACTATAGCACATCATCCAAATTCTTTTCTTTTTAATTGTTCCCACACACCATTGCCAATTGTTTCAACAAACAAACACCAATGAGTTTGTCTATAAAGTTAATTCAGAATTTCCAAATTAAACGTTCGCTACAAGGACATGCCTCCTATAGGAATACATACTGGCTGTGCTTGACCTAACAGGCACGACATATTAGCCTCATAATACAGGACATATTAGCTTCATAATATGAAGAACAAAGGGCACACTGCTGACAACACCACCATCACCAGTCTCTGTGTGACTAATAATAATACTACTCAAATTTATGATAGTAAACAACCACCTTAACCAAAAAACATGAAAGTGTAACCACAACCCCGCATATTTTAGGTACTCATTGCACATAAGCAGATCCCTTCCATTGACACTTCACTATGAATAGCAACAACGATGATTGATATAGAATGTGTGAAGCACATTCCATTTTGTTTCACGATATTAATCATACCTAGATAAACATAATTAATTGCAATACGAGGAGCTTCCTTGCTTTCAACATAAGATGCACCTCTATCACACTACAAATCCAAACAATCAAAACAACCAAGGAAAGCCTACATTAATGGAACACAGACTTTTTCTTTGATCATTAATGGAACACAGACTTTTTCTTTGATCATTAATGGAACACGTGCTTCTAACAAGAATGCAGTCCACAACTAAAATAACAAGCCGCAACCATCCAGCAAAAAAAGGCTCTATCATGGAATAGCATAGCAAAATCCTAACACACACAAGCGCAAGCGTGCCATGCCCACATGTAGACATACGACAGAACTGGGAAAGGTAATGAGATCTTGCACGAAGTCTTCCTCCTAAGCAAATGGAAAACTATTCCCTGCATTCACAATTCCCTTGCATAAATGCAGTGACCATGAAAGGTCAGGCTGCTGGTAGAGAGAAGAAGGCCCAATTTACTGGTAATTAGGACCATTAACTTTTGAAGTTCAAATAAGGCAAACATATGCAAGGTCCTATTGTTTCAACAATAGTGACCTCTTAGTAGAAATTTTTCAAATCATCCTGGCCATTGTCAGGTAACAACACGGTCAAAGAGATCAGTTTCTTAGCATAATATGACCACACTCCAAAATTTTCAGTAGTAAACAAGAAATTAGTTCCAACCAGCAAATGACACCCATTGATCAAAAAGGTAAATTTAAAGAAGAAAAATGATACCGGAGGAAAAAGTCAGAATGAGAGCAGAGAAGGCAAAACATATAACTCTTAAGGCATCACATGTCTGATTATCTAATAAAGACATCATGGATATACAGGAAGCATAGCCCCTGCTCATACCTCAGGTCCTATCCCCTAAAAAAGAATATCACATTGCATTTTACAAAAAAGTACAAGTACAATGTAATTAACACCATATATGTAATCTAATTCAGACAAATAAAATGCTAGATGAATGAAAGAAAAGTATCGTGGTACCTATTTACAAGAATAAATGAGACATACATATTTGTGCAAACTATCGAGGGATCCAACTTATGAGCCACAGTATGAAGCTGTGGGAAAGAATGATTAAGCAATGACTAAGGCATAAAATCAGTGGATCAAAAAACTAATTCGGTTTTATGCTAAGGAGGTCAACAAATAAGGCTATTTTCCTACTTAGGCAACTGACTGAGAAGTTTAAGGCGAAAGGAGAAGGCCTCCACATGGTCTTTATTGATCTAGAGAAAGCTTATGATAGAGTACCTCGAGATTTGATCTAGTAGGTGTTGGAACGAAAGAAGTCTCCAGACACTACATCGACTTAGTGAGAAACATGTATGTGGGAGCACAACCTAATGTGCGAATAACTACTGGAGAGACGAGTGAGGTTTCAGTGACAATCGGTCTACATCAAGAGTCAACATTGAACTCATAACTCTTTATCTTAATTATAGACGACTTAACTAGGCACCTACAAGATGAGATACCGTGGTGTATGTTCTTTGTGGACGACATAATTTTGATCGATTAGACCCGAAACGGCATCAACATTAGAACTTTCGAGGGATGTTCTAGAATTTAAAGGTTTTAAAATTAGCTAGACTAAGACAGAATATATGAAATAGAATGGAGACTATGAATAAGATTAACAGCAAATAAATACTAAAAAGAGTGAACTTTCGATATCTTGGATTAATAATCCAAGAAAATGGAGAGGTTGACGAAGATGTCGCACATATAATTAGGGCTGGGAGGGCGAACTGAAGATGTGTAATAGGAGTTTTATGTGATCGGCGCATACCAATGAAGATGATGGGCAAGTTCAATAGGACAGTTGTGAGACCAACTTTGCTTTATGGGGCGAAGTCTTGGGCGGTCAAGAAATAACATACCCAAAGAATGAATGTAGCTGAGATGAGAATGTTGAGATGGATGTGTGGCAAGACAAGAAGGGATAGAATTCAAAATGAATACTTTCAAGATAATTTAGGTGTGGCACCAATAGAAAATAAAACGATAAAAAGTAAACTTATGTGGGTTGGCCATATGCTGCAGCGCAGACCCAATACAGCATTTGTTGGGAGGTTCAAGTTAGTTCAAGTGGAAGGTTCAAAAAAGAGAAGGGGTAGGCCAAAAAAGACATGGTTAAAAGTAGTGAGAAAATATATGAGGATTTATGGCCTCAATGAAGGTATGGTCCTTATAAGAGCAAAATGGTGGACCAGGATTGGTGTAGCCGACCCCAATTAGTTGGGAAAAGGCTCTAATGATGATGATGATGTAATCTGACTGAGAAAACTCAAAGCACGCATAATTACATATATTTGCATACATGTCAAAAAAAAAAAATACATCCTGAGGCCCTGCACACCAGGTTCCTAATAGAGATCACAACTCTAGACAACTTATGTTTGCATCAAAAAGGAAGTCGGTCCACTTCATTTTGAGCTCTCAATAATAGATATGCACGCTCCATAAAGGAGCTCAGCATTAGCAAACAAGTGAATCCTCTTATGCCATTGCATGGAAGCAAATAGCATGGGAATAACTTCGTGAAAGGTAACAACACAAGAATGAAACCATATCACAATAGAACATTGAGAAGACAAACCAAAAACTACGTGCCATGGATACTATTACAACAGCCAAAACAAATCTTATTAAATGGATTCAAGCTAGAAGCTTGAAATTTCCAATGTGATGAAACAAAGAAAACCATGCCACATACTACTAAAAATTATAGAACACAAGATACAGCAATTCTAGATGGTGTTCTCTCTGGAAAGAACTGCAAATTTTGCAATTGAGTTCTAGACAACAACAAATCCCAGCTGGAAGACCTTGCTATCATTAACACATGATTTGGAAAAATTAGAAGCTCACTAAAAACCATAACAATTCATTAAAAATACAAATCAATTACTATACCATGAAATCTATGTTTACAAGTCACCACAAATCTTATCTAAATGGATCCAAGTCTGCAGCTTGAAATCTTACAATGCAAACAAAAAAAGCACTATATAGTTTAGAGTCATTCCACACAGGCTGCCATGATCCATGTCTGCAGCTTGAAATCTTACAATGCAAACAAAAAAAGCACTATACAGGACAAAGTCATTCCACAACCTGCAACAATCATCGACAGTGCTTGTGCTTCCTCTAGAAAGCACTTCAATATTGGCAATTAAGGTCCACATCCATTTCTCAAAAGGAAAATGGGGCAATACACACATTAACACATACGCAAATAAATTGCCATTTAAAACAATGGCAAAGTAGAAGAGAATCAAACAAGAAACCGGTAAGAAGTTTCATGCAATATCTTTAGCATGTCTTCATCAAAGTCCTGAACCATCCATTCCAGGAGTACCTACAATGGAAGAAATGAAGAACACAAATATAATGAAAAAAATTTCATGAATGCAAGATGAATTCCTCAGCCCTAAAGCACAATTAGATTGTCATCATTGAATCCTCCATGCCATGTGTGTCACTCTACCTAGTCGAACAGAATATGGTAGCTGTAGGAACATGCAATACCAAGGAAGAGGAATTCTTCTAAGACAGATGAATGGCTCAGACAGCACAATCAGTTAAAAACTAATAGAGATAATTTTTTTCGACTGCTAAACACTCAGAGGAAGGATTCCTCGACACTATACTTAAATTGCAAAGTTCTGGTAGCCATTACTTGGTGGTCAGAAAAGCAAGCACAAAAATCCCAAGCAACACCAAGTACAAATCGCATCAAATGAATCTCTAAGTCAACATAAATTTTGCTATAAGTGCATGATCGAACCAATTGAGAATTCTCTTATATCCATATTACATATGGCATAAAAAAAATGTCACATTCCTATCATTTTTTGAGTTAAGACTTGGCGACAGGCGGATGAAGCCAGAAGCAAAGAGTGTTTCAAACATATCCCAAGTATTGTTGGTATACTTCAAGGAACAGCCCGAGCAATCTATTACTGGATATACCTGAATCAGGGCTCGTGCCTGAGGGCTCTGTCAAACTCATTTCCAGACAAATTGGAAGAGTGGATGTTATGTTGTCACTGACTTGCCTAAGTCCAGGATAGGACCAATGGTCCTCATGCATTTGAATGCAGAAGACAACCACCTATAGCCAAGGGGAGAATGATCTTGTGACCTTAACTTTAAGGCATAGGCTAAGAGTGGCCTTGGTTAGGTCCACAAGATGTAATGGTGAAAGATTCATAAAAAGCACATAAGTTTTCCTTGTGTAAAATATAGCTTTCATTTAACTTGGTTTCAGACCTAATTGTGGGAAATTTCGGATCGGCAGCTATGTTAGATATGTATAGAGAAAGAGAGACTAAGTGTGTTTCACTACCTTGCACCCCCACGTAAGAAGTGAAGCGCTCACTGAAGTAATGCTCTCATAGAAGAAGCTCTCGCATAAAACATGTGGGAACGCTCTTGCAGAAGCTCTCACAACAGAAGCTCACACTGAAGAAGCTCCCACAGCAGAACTCTCACAAAAGAAGCTCCCACAGCGGAACTCTCACAAAAGAGGCTCCCACAACAGAACTCTCAGAGCAAAAGTTCCCACAGTAGAAGCTCCACAAGGCAGAAGCCCCCACAAAGGAAGGCTCTACTAACAAGCCAAATAGAGCAGTGCCTTGAACCTTTAGTCATCAAAAGGACAAAAGAACTCTGAGAAAGGTGGTTAGTCCAGACTCCAGAGCTGGTAATCCCATTGGGGAGGATACCAAAGATCACTATTATGACAAGACGAATGATATGTTGTGCAAGAGTGACTTTCATGAAGCAAGGAGATGTCACTTGTCCCTTAAAGGATCAACGAGGAGTTAGAGGATCATGTGACTCTTGTTTCTAGGATCATCAAAGGACACTGGATAGCCTAGAAGTTGTATAGCGGTGTGATGAACCCACATTATGAGATGAACAACTGATACCAATGTGGGCAGTATCTTCCGGTTTTGTCAAGAGAACTCTCTGACATCATACTCGGTTAACCACCAAATAAAGTGGGAATACTGACCTTAAGTCAAAATAAGCTCTGCCTTGAACCTCCTGTTTTGTAGGTCCATGACCCTAGAAGGTTTTTGGGACTGTCCAATGGCACAAGATATTGGTTTCCTTCTCTAAACTCGAAGTTGTCAAGTTTGTTGCTGTTTTGCAGGCAATGTAAAACATGGGACTCATAAAAGCTGGTTCTTGACGAAGGTACTTCGTCTGTGAAATTTTGACCACTGCAAGGAATGTGAGTCTAGTTGATGTGCAGAAAATTTCAGCTCAGAAATAGTTCTAGTTTGAGACATTGAAGTAAAAGAGGTTAAATTTTAAGACATCTCCCATTTTAACTAACTGTCTCGCCAACAAGTAGGAGTTAATAATTGAACTCCACTTACAGAGGAAAAAAAACAAGGAGAGAGACATTTTGATCCAAATGAAATTATTGGGATTATTATTATCAAGACTATCATCACCTAGTATATATATACCAGCTATGAACTAAAGGGGAAAAAAAAAAGCCTACAACCAACTTCATTTTTATGGCTTTTATATTAAGGATGGCGTGACACAGAGCTGGCAACCTCCAATGATGTGGCAAATAGGGGTTACAGGATGGGTGAATGTGTTTTCTCTATGGGAAAAAAACCCATTTTTTCCAATCTAATATCTTACCATGTATACCATCTGAGACCTTGAGAAACCCAACAAATCTGGAAATTCACCCCATATAAAGACCAAGATAACCTAGATAACAAACCAAGAAGAAAGGCCCCAACATTCTTGCTTCTAGTATCTCAAAAAGTTAAAACTTTTATAAATGGACCTATCATTCATACAAGCGAGGACCTTAAGGAACCCAACAAAAGAAAAAAACAAGAAACCAATCTATGATACCCAACCAACAAAATAAAAATATAAAATAAACCCTGGTAATTTTTACTGCGGCTTCTTATAAAATAAATTAAAAATTAAAAAAAAAATGTTTTTTCATATCAAAGGAACGCCTAACATTCACACAGTCTTGGACCTCTAAATCAACCCTCCTAAAACCAACCTAACATCCCTAAAAATGAAGGGAAGAAATGAGAACGTCTAAGAGTATGTGTATGATACTAGAATCTATATCTTAATTCATCATGAAAATCCCGGATCAATCGACCAACAAACCTTCCACAAACGAGGCAATGGAGACTGCCCGACTTCCCATCCTCCAAATAATTCTTCTTCTGTGATGGGTTCTCATTAAGCGTCTTAACAAACCTAAGGAATGCCTTTTGAAGGGCATCCTGGTTCACATCTGGCAATCGCTTCAGCACCACAGCTTCACAGGGCCGTGCGTTCTTAGCTGATGCTTTAGCAGAACCCACACGCTTGTCATCATATCTCGGAAGTTTTAAGGACCTCATGTCCTCGCTCACCCTGCCAGATTCAGGCAAGGGGCTACCGGATTCCGGCAACCTGCTTGCTTGAAAACCATCAAACATAGGGTTAGGGTTTCCATATTGCAGGAGCTGGTGCCGATGGCGAGAGAGCTCGTCACTTTGAAGATGACCAGGAAATGGCCCTGCCTCCCTTGAAAACCCTAATTCTCGACCTTCTTCCTCCACATACTTCCTTTTTATGGAGTTTTCATGTGGACCGTGGAGGTTTTCTGGTGGACCACGGAGGTTTTCTGGACCACGGAGGTTTTCTGGTGGACCGCGGAAGTTTTCCGGTGGACCTCGAAGGTTTTCGAGTGGGCCATGGAAGTCGAAAGCACGGCCCATGGACAAATTACTCTCTCTTCTTGGAAAACCTGGATCAAAACCCTCGGGTTCTATAGGGCCACGCCTTTCAAGCCCTAGAGTTGCACGATCAGGAGGAAAGCGATGGAGGTCAAGGTTAGGAAAATCAGGGTTTGGATCAGGAGGAAGCGCAAAATAGGAGCGAACACTCCCATCTGCCAACACTATGGTCCTCCTCTCTAACATGTGGAAGCCATAGCCAATGTTCGGCTCATTGGTAGGAGGAACGGGGAACGAGGGTTCAGGAACTGGAGGTGGTGGATTGGGGTTAGCGTTAAGGTTGGGTTTAGGTTTAGGAGAAGGGCCTTCTTCTTCTCGAGCAGGGGCTTTTTTGCGGTCACTTTGAGGACCATCAGCTGGTGATTTACTATTGTCCCATCGAGATTTACGGTGAGATGATGAGGAAGAGGCCATCTTCTGAGAAGAATCCCTCTTACTCATGGCGGATGGAAAAAATTGGGGAACGGTAAGCTAATGTGATTGTGTGAAAATAATCTGTTGCAGAGACGAGATTATGGCACAAAATATGTTGCAGAGTTGCAGAACTAGGATAGAAAGAGAGAGAGACAGAAGGAGGTGGCAAACGTGAGGACTGGGGGACAAAGAAGTTGCAAAGAATTAGAGCAGAGAGAGCGTGAGAGACAAAATGGTATGGCGTGGGATAAATTGGGGTTTTAGATGTTGCAGAGGATTAGGGTTTTGAAAATTGCATATGTGATTCTGGGAGTCTGACCTTCGATGGAAAGATTGAGGAAACAATATCAAAAGGGTTGGCTCTCAAACCAGCGGGAGAGGAAGAGACAGCCAAAAATGCTTTTATTCCGCGTTGCCAAAAACAATTATGCTCCCGCGGAAGTATATTGTGTAACTACTAACTTCGATAAATCCCACAATTAATTGGACTCAAAAATAGGTAGGCGACCTCTTCAGGTTATAGTTTAATGAAACGGTTTATACAATGTTGCAGCCTTAAAATATAAACTTAAGGTGCTCTTAAAATATTTATTGTAAAAGGTTGTTTTGAAGTTGGAAATTTCTCTAATTTATCATCTCGATATCGAGATGTATTAATATGAAAAGAAAAATAAAAATTTCAAATCTCAAAAGTAGTGCATCTTATAACATATTATATGGATTGTTCATTTTTCCATATTTTCATGTATTTATAGATCACTTTATTTGAACCATTTCTTGAGTTTGCAATTTTATAATTGGAGATGATATTGAATTATCATGCCATCCTAATAAACTTTTATACCAAAATTACATTTTATGATAAAATTAGGTGATGCTCCTTACTTGATTATTCAAGGTTGCAATCTTATGCAAACCCACCCGAGATTAATCTCAATAAAAAATAATAATAATTGTACTCTCTATATGTTTAAAAAATATTATTTCAAAATTGAATATAACTCATCAAAATTTTAAATGGTTAGATCTAACTATTAGACAACTTAATATTTAAAATTTTATTTTTAATAACGGACGTGGTTTTTATGAGTCAATAGACATACACGTCCTCTCTATAATCTATTTTTTAGATGGATTTGAACTTGTTTTTTTATGAATATATGATCTCTAACATGGGGAGCATTAGTATGTAAAATAAATCAATTTTAAATTTTAAAAATTATATATATTTTTTGAAGAAACAAATTAAGCATCAATTTTGTTTCGATGTGTAACCGCGGTATTGAGGTGGTGGTGGTAGCATCACTGGAGCCTGACCTACCGGTTTAGGTTTTCATTCTCACTGACGCATTCGAAAACCGCTAATTATTTCTAAAAAATGGGTAAAGAGAGGCATGTATTCCTCATTGATCTAACCAAAAAATAATTGTTATTATTCTTGGGTAATTTTTAGAATTTAAATTCTAGCAAAAAATAAATTCTCTAGTAAGTCTTCTAAGTGGTAGAGTAGGTATACACGATGCTCCCACGGGGGCATAATAAACGCGTCTGGTTCGCATTTTCTCTGCGAATTATATTCCAGCATTTTGGCGCAATGGGTCCCTTTCTCCTCTCTTTGATTCGCGCCCTTTATGGACCTCGATGTCTTTTTTTTTCTTAAAAAATATCAATATACGCTAAAAGACTTTGAGCTAAATGAAATGGATTTAGCAACAAATACATTATTTTTTAACATTTATTTAGCTGAACCACCGAGTGATGATTTTGTCATTTATGAAAAATGTATCACCTACCTTTGAATAAGGTTTAAACCAATGTATAAGGATCAAATCAGTTATTAAATTCGTAAGGGATTTGGTCTAATCAAAATTAATCTAGCAGTTACTCAAACTAATTTGACATTATTATAAACAATATACATATAATATTATTTTAAAATATATAATATATTAATAAATAGTGCAATCTTTATAAGGTGGCAACCTTATGTGTGACACACAAGGTTGTGATCTTATATATTGTATATTTTAGTAGGTTAATGTAGATTTAACATGTTTTTTTAAGATATGGTCAAAAAGGTAATACCCGAAAGTGTTAAATCCATATTGTTCAAATAAAATAAATAACATAGATCAATATAACTTTACTTTTGCAAGTAATATTGCATCCTTAGGTAAATTATTCTATTAAAAAAGAGGTTGGCCCAACTTTATTTGGCTAACGCGGTCACAACCAGTCAAACATTAGTTTTAGTCATTTTTGCCCAAACTTGGGTTTTATTTTGAACCATACCGGTCAAGACATTGATCAGGAATTCGACTGGTCCAGTCCGGTCTTTGATAACGATGGTTTAAACCATTAATAAAAAAATATTGTGTTTGATAACCGAGCAATATAAGTGTTTTTAGCTAAATGACCTAAATATATCTTATTTATTTTGAGTTTTAATTTTACTGCATAGTTGTAAATTTGAAATTATTGTTTCATGATAAAAAACAATTAATATATTTTGGCACATATGATTTAAATGGAGCCAGTGTACCAAAATACTCTAAGAGTTCCAAACCCCGTACAAAACTCCCTGATTATAAAAACATAATACCTGCCTGTGTATTTTAGAAGGAACAAGGTAATTTGGGGTCAAATGGCTTGAGTGTGGTTTATGCAGTTTATTTATTTTTTGAAGAAAAAGTACATACAGAAAGTCACAATCATTATGACAAATTTTAGATGAGATGGTTGTGTTGACTAAGGTCAAAGAGTCAAACAAAATTTAACTACGTGGCATACCCCAAGTCATCAAATTTGACATCAAACGGCCAGTTAGCTCATTGCAGCAATGATAAATGATTGTCTTTATTTTAACTTTTCCCTTAATAGCTATTTGAAAAGCCGAGAATCTCATTCTCCCTTTCTAAATAATAAAGTTAAAGTCCAATGAACCTGATTCTCCATGGTTGTATTCGGCAGCCTAGCTTGCCCCGGATCCAAGCCTATAATCTACAAATGCCAAACGAGTTTGTGATTAGTGAGAACATCCTGCTCATTGTCATCCACTTAACATAAGGATATGAGTCCTTGCAGAAATGAGTCACCTCTAAAAAATATATATTTTTGAGATGGATTTTTAGACTTGATTTTTAAGGGTATTCAATCTATAATATGAAGATCGTGAAAATGAAAAAATAAATAAATTTATAAAATTTAAAATAATAATTCTATTAAAAAAACATTTGAACCGCTATTTTCAATTGTTTTTAGATGGGCCGCCTATTTGCATCCATATACTTGCGACTGGATATTGTAGATATATGGTCTAGCTCGCATGAAACAATTTTCCTTAACATAAAGCACATGGACTTCATTCATAAAAAGTCTAATAAATTTTGAGAGATGGTATGAATAAGAAATGCACAAACTATGTCATTTGTAAAAAAACCAATGGGAAAAAACATATGGATCTTTTATTAATTTGAAATCTAATTCCACCCTTCAAGGGCCAAACTACCTTTTTAAACCTTCTGACAATGAATTCGAATCGAGCCTTGAGGGATAGGACGGCTTGTACTGAAAATATTTAAAGACGCAAAACTTAAAAGGAAAATGGTTTTTTGATAGGGCTGCAACCCTATCAAAACAAGTAAATCCTAACTTCATGACTCATTGGAAAATGCAAGTCAAGCTTTGGAAAAAAACCTTTACATTGATAATCCCAGCTTTAACATTATGGTTATGAAAAAAAATCAAGTTTTCAAGCTCTAAAAATAGTGTATATTGTAGAAAACTATTTAGACCGTCCATTTTTGTTTTAAAAATAAATGTTCACAGATGCACATCATCGATACTATTGTCTGAATTTCAATTTTTGTTGTTGGTGTTGACAACTAAATTTAGAGCCATCGTAGGGATTTATTGTTAGATTTAGAGAAGATGTATAACTCAATAACAATTTAGAGGGAGAAACTATGTTGATCAATCACATTTACAAGGAATAAAACCCTAAAAGGGTTTATATACAAATACAAATTTAGTGTAGACCACATTATCCCTATACAAATATACAATGACAATAAAAGACAATTAAAAATTATATATTTAATTTTTGTATACACATTATTATTATTGTAGCTGAAAGTACTTTATATAAATGATTTGAAGTGATGCTTTATTTTGTTTTCATAAATCCTAGGCCTTATAGAAACTTCATACAAACATAAAAGTACTCTCACAATATTGTTTCTTAAGGGGCAACGAGGTATTAAAGTATGGATTCAACTTCTATAAAGTATAGACTTTGTGAAAACAAAGTAAAGCCTCGCCTTGAATTATCCTACAAAAAGCGCTTTGGGCATAAGAAATCTCCATGATGGCTATATAATCAATTTCTAACATGAATTTTTGAAGCTCAATCAATGGTGTAAATACTGAGGATAGGTGAACACTTGTGTTTAGGACGAAATGGACAATTTAGATAATATGTTATAATATAAATTATTTTTAGGGTGTGAAATCCATAACTATAATGGTCAAGGCAATGATAATTGATTTCAAAATTTTCTAAGCAACTAAAAAAACGTGGGACTGTAGCAGCTCCCACTTAATTATTGCACATATAATATATACATTATCAACATTCTTATTGGTTTCACAATATGCAAAACATTTATAAACCACAAAGGTTCAACCACATTAATTATTTTTGTAGTAAATCCATACAAACCAAGTTATCTAATCAATATAACATGTGTCAATGAAATCTAGCAAGATAGCATTCCTATACCATTCCCTATAGTTCAAGGTCTTAGGTAATTGATGATTCTAAATAACTTCAAACACGAGTCAAGGCAAATAAGTATTTAAAAAACAGTGCATGGCAATTTTTTTCTCAATTTTATAAATTGCTTGAAGGCATAATGGTTTTCTCCATTTTTAAAAAAAAAAAAAACAAATTGACTTGGTATATATATCACAAGCCATGGTTAAATAATAGTATGACAGTTTAAAATGATTTTCTTATATAAAGACTCAAGTTTTTCTCAAAACCTCAAATTTAATATTAAAATATATATTTAGTATTCAAATATCATTTTACCGCATTTACTTACCAAGTCATGTTTATAACTACAAAAACCAGTCATAAAGTCCATATTAAAATTATATCTAAAACAAAATATGACTAGATAATAGTAATCAAAATCTTGACAAAAATTTCTTTTTTGGCAAATATGGAGACTTTATGAAGAGATCATCATTACATGCAACACATCATATTATTGGACATTGTTGGGAGGATGGTCGCTAAAATAGAGTTCCATCAAAACATTCATTTCGTGCTTACATATTTGAATGAGTCATACCCATATCTACCTTAAGTAGTTTTACTC